ACATTTCCCAACATTGAATCTCAGATCTAGATCTCAATTCATGCTCCTACTATTAGTAGTAGTTTGATTTTGGAATCACCAATCATGACAATGACTCCTCATTGGTACTATYGTATGATAGCGTGGGCCACATTTTTCTGGTTGAATCTTCCATACATTTTTTACTACAGATGCACAGTGCCTATCATACTTAAGCATCCATTGGGAAACACATTATAGCTGTTTGAGTGGTGGGTTGACCCTTAATTCACTCTCTATCATGTGTGTTTTGCACTGGTGTGCATCAATTTTGGGCTATCTTTTTATCATCACCATATAATAACTCATGGGATTAAAAATTTTACTTCTACTGTGGGATTCAAAAATTCAGCATGTATGCAAAGAAAATAGGGCCCAAAATCTACAACTGCTGCTGGTGGTGTGTACATTTGCTGGCCAAGCCTACTATATGATAATAGTTCMCAATTTGCTAAAGTTAAATGTTGTTGTAGAGGCCGTCGATGTTCTTGGCAGTGACATTGCTATACTCTGCTGTGATGCTGTTCCACAACTTCTTGGAGAGGAAGAAGTGGCAGTATTTTATAGGACTCAAACTTGTCCAACAAGTTGTTGGTTGGTGTATCATGCCTGTCATAACCATAACCATAGCAAAAGCAGTCTGTATGTATTGTTGTTGGGTTCTTTTTAATGATGTCCAAATGACTGATCACAATATTTACTGAATTTTTTATCACAATATTTACTGAATTTTTGAGTGTTGGGAGGATTTAGGTTGTTCTCTTGTTACATTTTGGAACCACCAATCACAAAAAATTGTTTGAGTCATGGGAGCAATTTGGTACTCTTAAATGATATTGGAATGACCAATCTAAGTTAATAGTATTGCCTCTACTTTTTTTATCTTTGTTCATTTGATGATGTGTAAATAAAGAGAAACAACGAGAATATTATCTGGGCTAGTAGATTTATATGAGCAATTTCTTGCTTTGTGGAGAAGAACAAACCACCATCCATTGAAAGTATTGTCACCATTCTACTAGTAGATGTCCGCTTCTGTTCATCAAGGTGAAGCATATGATTTATCTCCTTGGTGCAAAGTCATCCAAACTCCTGAAAGCAAAACTTTGAAGAAACCATTTACTGCATCTTGTTGTTGATCATGAAGGAGGTGATTATGACGATTGTCTGGTGGTGACAAAAATATTCTTGATACTAGTAGTTTGGTGATGATTGCAAACAAGAAGAAGTAGAAATAACATCATTTTCCCCATAACCAATTTACTACTAGTACTAGTATACATGACCTGTCCTTTTACTGGTGGGCACAAAATGCCACTGAATCATATTGCATACCCCAATCCATTACTAGCCGCCAAGAATTGATTGCCTCTTGGTCCAAARCAATTCCACCAGCTGTATTTGAATCATTCTGTTGGGTACAAATAATGCTGATGAGGAGGTCCTAGCTGATAGCCTTGAATGCAGAGTTAATAGTATTCTTTCCAGTAATACTCTATATTTTTAAATAAACCATACTTCTGTCACGTGGTGCTGCCATGCCAATCACGCAGCCGATAATTGCGACTTTTACCAAAAATAAGAATTACTACAACACATTTTAAATTATTTCTCCATTTCATTTCATTTCGTTTATTCATTTAATTTTGACACTCGCAAACCCTGGTCCTACTACGACTGAYATTCCTCGTTGATTAATATTTACATAGCACATGTCAATGGGCATTTTGACTTTTTGGGTCAGCAGTCAGTGTACTCGTTCGAAACGATTAAACTACCTCAATACGAGGTCACGAGAGCACGTGGTATTAGTTCTTGGTTCTTCAACTTTTGGCGGGCATTAAGAGGACTTCTTGTGTAAAGTGACATTCAAACAACTACGTTGAGACGAATCAAATTCCCCTTCTTGCGTCGCATTGTTGGAACATACCGCATTTCTATTTGAATATTGGTCAAACATCCCTGATTTCTATCCACTGAGGACGTTCAATGGAGCAGCAGCAACTGCGGCATCTACGGCACCTTCTATTGCCTTGACGGTGCCATCGGCATCACCTTCTGCTTTTTCTGCGTCCGGATTTTCTACACCAATCTGTTTKCCAAACTCTGGGTCTCCAGGCTCTGGGGAGGCTACCTTCACAACGACACCAATAAAGTTCACAATATTGTTCTGGGCATCGCGGAGGGCTGCGATAAATAACTTGTTCCAGAATGGAGTGCCATCCGCCGTATAGTTCACAAACGTGATAGAGATATCTTCACCACTTGGGAGTCCCTTGCGAATGATATCAAGTTTATCTTTGCTCGTCTCGGGACCTTGCAAAAATCTGCAATTCCTTCCGAGGACATCATCTCTGGAATATCCCGTTAACCTGAGAAAGTCATCCGAAGCAAAAACAATTGGATTGTCTTGTAGACTGGGATCTGTGATGACAAATGAATGTTGTGATTGTTGAATACTTGTGACTAGATTGAAGTCTTCTTGGTCAAGATCGGGATTTTCTCCACAAGCTTCAAGCACTTCTCTCGGCAATTTTTTGGCAGCATTGCTCTGTTCCAGAAGCAATCTTCCTTCTTCCGTGTTGACTTCGGTGCGTACGATGTCCTTCAAGACAGCATTTTCTCTTTGAAGYTCCATTACTTCCTTTTGTAATGATTCGAAAAAGAATTTCTTTCTAAGTCGGGTTCTCCTGGCAAGAATACGATTTCTTTCTCTTCTTCGATCGATCTGAGCTTGAGTCTTCTTACGTCCTCTTCCTTGCATCGCAGCAGCCGCTGCAGCAGCAGCAACAACTGCTGGGGACATGTTCGCTGTGCCATTSGTCATGTACGAAGTGTTGATCAGCCCCTGAGGAGCAACTTCGGGTGGGTTTGTCCTACGGCGTTTAGCATCCGCAGCTCCCCCCTTTGTCTTTAGGGCAGCTTTGGTAGGTGCTTGTTGATTCGAAGCAGGTGCTGGTGCCATCGAGCTGGACCGTTGCGGAACATATTGAGGGATAGTGGCGGGAACGGCCATTCCCTTTGCAGCAATTTGAGGAGCTACCATTAAGGGAGGGGGTGGTGGAACCGGTGCATATTGCACTACTTGTGTCATCTTRGGTGATGGGATAGGAGCAGGGGCAGCGGCAGCGATTGTAGCGGCGTGCTGTGTGATTATGCTTTTTGCTTGCGCTGCTCCATTATCACCCGCTCCGTCCACGCTCTGCTCAGGCGACACTACGAAGTCACTGCTCACAATAAAGACAACATCAATCGCGAAAAATAGCATTAGTTAATTATCAACGRAACCAGAGTAATAACTTTTCTTTCTCTCGTTTCAAGACTTACCYGAATTCAAAGTTCACCGGTCCTGTTTGATTACTTCCTGGAGTCTCCTCGAGGAGGTATTCGGCCAACAAGTCGAAGTCCATATCCTGCTCCCCATCATCCATGAACCATTCTCCAGTTTGCGGCTGCTGGTTACTGGTTGATCCAAAGATAGGGATGGTTACTGGCTGGGACATGTTAGGTAAGGCAGCTAACATGTATGCAGTAGCTTTGCCTCGAAAGGGAAACGATTCGGAAGGGGTAGTACTATTGTTTACGAAGTACTCGAACCCAGGTATCAAGTTCGTCTGTCTGATTGACTGACACGAGTAAGGTTGGGTGTTTTAGTTCAGGTTCAACAAAACAAAATACGATAAGAGCTTTCTCGCGTGATTTCTGCGCGTAAAGAAAAACAGAAGAATGGAAAAGCGTTTCGTGTGAGAAGGAGGAAGAAAAGAGTTGATGTTTGGTTTGTTCCGTTTGCTCTTCGTGGAAGAACGATGACATCAAATTGAGTATTTGACGTCATGCTCGTCCAATCAAAATTAAGCAGATWTAAATGTGAGGCCCTGCGCTCCATCAAAAACATCCGTAAACACGAGTTTTCACCATCGCGTCAAGCAAAAATCAAGGCACGAGAGGTCCGGCAATCGAAGTGTTTGTCGCCGGTTTAATGCTCTCAAGCGGATGTCGCCGACCTTCACGGGGAGGACATCGGAAATTATGGCTTCAATAATCGTTGATGTGATCGTCGATAGATTTGTTTGAATACATCGTGACAAGATGGGTTGGCAGGAAGTTGCTGGTTTTTCTGATKTACCGCGCGCTGACCAATCCTCATTCTACGTAGCTTTCAGTATTATTTGTACGTGCATCGCAAACGCGAGAAAATGTAAAAAAGATCGTCCATCTTGAAGAAAGCTGCCGACAACAATTCATTCGATGCAAGATCAGCTGCCGGATCATCATTCCAGGTCTACCTACTTTTTGTGTGCTGTAGCAGAAAGATTTGCTATGGGAGGTATAACGCAGATGTCGTTCTCTATTAATAGATGTCGTCTTTGGTTCCGTATGGATAGCTGCAATGATAAATATCAGAAGGTGCACTTTGTGTGAGCGGTTGCATGGATTCTGTGAATGCTCGATTTGCGTTCTCCACCTCCTATCAGGGTGTCTTTACTTGCGTTCAGCGTTTAATGTCTTTCGTTGCGAAACAAACGTTTTTAGGTGTCACCTTTTSTTTCTTATGTGCGTGCAGTTTGTGTTTTTCCAAATAATGATCAAAGATGGCACTGTCATTCCTTGTCATCCTCGATGTCGTACCCCTAAGACTSAGATAAAATCAAAATAAGTATTCCTMAATTGAAATCAACATTGCAATCTATTTCAATGTTTGGGGGTGCCATTTTTCATTTTTACGTCAGATATTCTACGATTTTTCATTGGMTAGAATATTAGTATTAACTTGAAAACCAACAAGAAATAGAACTGTATGCCTCTTCGTAATATTCATGCTTCTATTTCTTTCTTCCGCGACTGTCAATGAAAATGATGTATTAAAATTTACTCCTCAGTACTAAGTTAGTTTCTYATATGTTAAATGTATGCAATAAATATGTAGTAAAAGAATAATGTTGAATACAGAAACAAAATGATATCAGATGAAGRCATATTAGTTTTTGTTACACACTTCATACAAAGGTTTATACTGCAGACAGGGGGGATCAATTGTGTAACTTGCAAAAATATCATATTCTTGGCTGAGAATTTTCTGATGTCCTTTTTTCATACTAGTAGTACTAGTACTACTAGTAGTAGTAATTGCTACTAATCCATGCACTACCACAGCAAGATCGCCTCTGAGATCTTGTGGTGGTAGTGGGGTGTTGCATAGGCATTGATTTTGACCTGGTGGTGGCTGATAGGTGGGTATTCGTGGTTCATCAGTCACACTGGTGCTCAGAGTCAGGGCCTCTGCACAGAACTGGTGCCCCCATTTGCCTGCAATATACTAATTGTGGCGGTGCAGGATGAGCCCGCCTTTTTTGCAGGACATGATGGTGTGTTTGACTGTGAAGCTGGCACTGTATTGCTTGGGGAGATGGAGAGGACAGGGGACAAATCTCAGTCTGAGGTTGTCCCAAAATACTTTGGCTGACAGTACAGTCCCATTGAGGTGATAGGCTACTGTGCCCTGTCCCCGTCAGATGCAGTGGCGGACTTTGGGTGACCGTGTCAGAAGCAGGATGTCAAGGGAGGCTTGCAGGGACTCTAAGCACTGCTTTCAGCAGTCTCCCAGGTGGCACCAAACTTTGTCACAGTAAGTCTGTGCATTGAGTTCTTCAGAATTTTGGAGGGCAGCAATGAGGTTGCCAGTGGCACCAACAGACATGTCAAAATGTGCCTGGGCGTCAGCCTGGGGGTCAGCAACTCCAAGGTCAGAGAATTTCACTGGGAATGCCAGCAAATCTGATAGATTGACAGTGGTTTTGACAGTGTCCTCTCCAAGTAATATGGGCAAAAMTTCCTTGGCCAAAGCCTTCTCCACTGGTGCAAAAGATTCTGCCACATCAGGAACCAYGCATTGGAGGTAGGTTCATTCAGACTGTAAAGACTTTGTCAAACCTGCAAAAGTGGCCTGTGGAAATTKCCATGCTGCACCAGAAAAAAGTTGTATACTTTCAACCCATTTGACRACCTGTGCCTGGAGCCAATCTGCCTTGGCTGCAACAGTACTGATGAAACCCCAAATATAATGGTGTCCGTCTCAGAAGTCCAAATTGAATTCCTGGAGGATGACATTGGATCTGGAGTGTTGGGATGGAGGTGCAACAAAAATACTTTTCATTGGCTCTGGAAAACATGGTACGAGCAATTTCAGAGACTCTTCCGTGCATGACAGCGTCATCCATGTACCACGGTTGGACTACATCTGGAAATGCAGTGCAAAGAGTTTTTGCAAGTGGAACCAAGGCTAGCCCACAGAGGATCATCAAGAGTGGATCTCCCTKGGTGACCCCCTTGCAAGAGTGTAAAAAGGAACAGGGATCATTGGAAGAATGGCCCCTGAGAATCAGCTTGGCAAAATACCAGTTGCAATTGAAGCAGAACTGAGTGCTGGCTGACCAGAGGTGTCAAATGGTCCAAAAGAGAGACTTGCAGCTGATTTCATTGAATCCATTGTGGRCATCCACAAGGAGTGTTCCTTCTGGGTCATCTGGATCAGGGCAAAGCAGGGCATTATGTGGCAATTTGGTTTGTGTGGCTGTAGAATTGCTGTTTTTCCATTGGTCTGCCTGGCTGTGCATCGGTATGTCATTGTTGAGGTGATGGCCAGGCAGGGCCCACGTTTGTGCTTCCCTAATGATGTGGGAGGYACCCTTGATTCCAGCACGCATTCCGGCATAAAGGTTGAAATTGCCACACTGGTCTGTGGCAAGTTGGCCTGSCACATAGAGAATGCACTTTGTCATGAGTCKCCAGTAGATTCTGTCAATCCCAACAGGTTGAAGGTTGGGTTGCTTGTCAAGTGCCACTAGGTGACACACCATGAAGGCCYGGAAAGCAACCCATGGGGGATGGTGGTTGGCCAGCCAATTTGTCAGGTCCACAATTTCTTTGCAAAGCATCTTGGAGAAATGGCCAAACCAGAGTAGCCATGTTTTGAGTTCCTCACCATCAGTGCCACCTGGACCAGCCACCCCCAATAACTTTGCACATACCAATTCCACTATGTCCTGTGTGATACTCAGTGGTAGTGTGGTAGRTACCTTGGGATAAGGTTCAAAGGCTCCWTTGGGTATGCCAAGATTTGTCAGATTGCACAGAGGAGGGTGTTTGGACTGCAAGACCTCAAAAACCAGCCTTCCAGTCTTTGTGCAGTTGTCATCTGGATTAAAACATCTCCCCCATTGCAACTGGTGAGGTTTCTACATGCCCCCGCCCTGATCTGTCCCAAAAGCAGTTCATCGTCATTGGTTTTGTGTGTGGTGGGTCCATTGCAAAGACAGGCTTGGGCAATGAGGTTGTCAATGAGAAGACCATAGTGCCCATCCCAATGGTTAATCTGTTGTTCCAATAGACTTTGGATGTCACTAGCTGTTTTCACTCTGYGTGCTTCCTGCAGGATAACCGCCACAAATACCAGGGGATATTTGGAATTCCACCTCTGCAGTTGTACTCTGCACAGCTCCTTGCAAAATATCTCAAGAAACATTTTCCCCACGCAATTCTGTGGGATGAGGTACTGTCTTGGTCTGATGTTGACAATCTGTTTCCAACAGYGTTGCCATAGTGCATCATCTGCAATGCCACCAGAGAGGCAAGTGCTAGGGTTGTTGTGAATGTGATTGCTATAGATTTTGTCCAATTTGGAATCTGCCTCAGTGAGCACATAGTCAGGTAGGTCCGCACCTTYGTCSGCAACTGAAAGATGTGGTTGTATGAGTTGGGGGTGGGGAATCAGGAGGCTGCAGTGTTTTGGCTTGGCACTGGGGAAGAGCCAACCATGCTGTTCTTTCTGCATTTATTGCTGTACCTCTTTCACAGTCGCATTAACAGCCTCTGGATGATAAGGGGCATCATTCCTTCTCTTCCATCTATGTTGTTGTCCATGTCTCTTAGCCTGAGCCATTAAATCCAAATGTCACCTTGGAGGTGCAGATCAAGCCTCCAAATGAGAGTGAGCATCTGTATGAGCCTCTGGATTAGCCAACAGCATTATTTGCTGTTTGCAAATAAGCCTCTGCAGAAGCAGCATTTTTGGCCTCACACAAAGAAGCCAATTGCCTTGTAGGTGCAGATTGAGCCTTGGAATGAGGTGCATCCAGCAAAGACTCTGAAGCAGCATTAGCTGCATTTGGCAAAGAATCCTCCCCAATAGCCTCCACAGCCTCCCCAGTTTGGGGTGTATGAATTGCTGCAATATCCACAGCAGCGCAAGMTGCTTTGGTTGTTGCAGTGGTTGGTGCATCCAGAGGAGGAKGWKSTGCWGCRGMRKMATC